TTACAATGAACAATACCCGTGGGTTTCCTCGCCGACTGTTTTGCACAGGGAAGGCGTCATGTAACCTCAGCCTGCATGTGGAGGTGTGGAACCAGATCATAAGAAAAAACGAGATGATTTTCTAAATTAAGGAGAGCGATGGTCTGGCTGGTATCACTGCTTTCAGAAACAGGAAATCACAAGGACCTGTGCAAGCTGCGGCTGACAACACCAGGGTTGCTTGGTAAAGACAGTTAACCTCCACGTAGCAGAGGTAAATCTCCATGTAGCAAAGGTACCTCTCAGCCTGCTTGGCAGCTGGGAGGCAATTCTGTACGGGCCCATGCTGTGCTGGCTTTGTCCTCCATGCTCAGAGCAGGAGCAAAAATGGAAAGCCAAAAAAAAAAAAGAAAAAGTGTGGTTTGAGCAGGTATTTCTGACTGCGGGTAGCCCTGGCACCGAGGGCGTGGGAAGCAGGATTGATGTTGCGATGTTGTGTAACAGAGACGTTATTGAAAGCAGCAGCTTGGGATGGGGATAGGCAAAGTCACCTGGCTTCGTTTCAAACCCATTTGGGTGGCTGGGACGTTTATCTCGAACAGTGTGGGCATGCACCGCGCTCGCAGGCTACTTGGTGAAAAGGAGGCAGCTAATGGGCTGAGCAGTCTCAGGTGGGAGAAATAAATACAGAGGCTGATCAAAGGTTGAAGGAGAAGATCAGTGGGTGGCTGCTTTGGCAGGCAGAGGTATGATCGAGATCCCCACAGAGCAAATGCTGTATGTTTTACCTGGTGGCAGAGCAGAGGCTGCTGTAGATGGCCTGGTGGCAGGTTGTGATGTGCACCTTGGGCGAATGGGAGCTGTTGTGTGTTTGTTGTCCTCTCCAGGCCCAAGAGCTGCTGTTCTGCTATTCCCTGGACAGGCACGGGGAAGCTATGTTCTGCTGTATCTTATATTCTGCACACCAACTGATACCCGGCCCTCAGTTTAAAAAATAAAATCTCTGGCTGGCTTGTACATTCAAGCACGGTAAAACAAGGAAACACCAGGACCACAGTAAGTGCCTGTATGTAACCTGCTCCCCTGTACTCTCCTGCAAGGGCTCTTAATCGCACGGTCCCATCTCTCCTCTTTTTCCCCATGCTGGCCCTTTCACAAAGTCTCTGTCTCGGCCAGCACGCGGGGTGTTAATGTTCAGCACTCAGCGTGTGGCCCTGAGCCCTGCTTGTTTTGTGAACCCTCAAACCTTGCATTGAGGCCATTTGGTCTCTTACCGGTTTTCCTGTGGTGCTCTCCCCATATCACTTAATTACATGATCTTTGAAGGCATGGTGGTATTGAATTAAATCAGCTTTGTTTGAGGGCTGTAGACCTCTTTTCGGATTAGTTTATGTTGTAATCTTCCTGATACCTAGAAAGACAGAGGATATTGTGCCTGTGTTACATAGGGAGCTCTGAGGTACAGAATTTGAAACCAAGATTGCCGGATAATTTTGAGATGTAAAAAAATAGGATACGTTTTACAGTACCTTATGTGATCGCAGCACAGCTCCCTCTGTCTTGATGGCAGTTGTGATTAGTGCTTCCAAAACACGATCATTGGTATCACAGGTGGGGTACTGGCCAAACCCCACACCTGCTGGGTTGCCTGTGCAGCACCTGGCAGGCAGGGGGAGGGAATCGCGTTGTCCCGGTAGGCGCTTAGACCTGCCCGGTCTGTGACACCATCCCGGCTCTTGCGAGGCATTGCCTTATTTACCGTCTTAAAAGCTGGAACAAAGCAGAAGCCTTTCTCCTTTATTATGCCATCCTCATTCATCGTGAGAACGCAGCCTATACTGTGCAGTGAGTGAAACAAGGGATCTCTGTAAAAGGAATTTTGGAATCGTACAGAGAGACTGTATCCCATCCAAAAAAAGAAGGGGAATGAGTGGCTGCTAAGCTTGTTGGCTTCTGGACACTTCACAGTCTTAGTATACTTTCATGTAACCTATCTTTTAAATCTAAAGAATGGTTGCTTGGGATAATACGTATTTGTAATGTCAGTGTTTTGTTCTTACAGGATCAGTTTAGGTCTACTATCTCAGCATAATCTGAAAAACATGTAACAGCACTTACTGTTACACATGGGCTGCTGCGGGTGAGGAGGCACATTTTGGTTGCCGTTTCAGGTGACAGCAAACGAATGCTTAACTTAGGGAGCAATGGGGTCACTAGAGGAGTATACTGCAGTTGCTAGATCTTCACAGCCTGCCGCCCTTGGCTGTCTTCCTATTCTCTCTTTCCTCTGACATCTCCCGATGCTCTGGCTCCCGCTCCTCTCTCCCTTTTTTCGCTCTTTCCCCCTCTCCATCCCAGCCACTTCTACTGCTCCCTCCCACCTGGTTCGTGCCAGAGGCGCAGCTCCCGCAGCTGGACGTGGCTATCTTAACAGAACTGTT